ACAGGAATTGAACAGATACTCCTTCAAAGGCACCAGCCTTTGCAACAGCTTCATGACCCCCGCCCCTGCCCAGCGAAGGTGAGCTGAGAATACAGCCCGTATTCTCTGTAGCAGACTGTGGGATAAGGAGCCAGGTAGAGTGACTCTCAAGGGGCAGAGATGTAATTGGAGCAGAGGAGAAGGGATCTAATTCTAGAATTGAGGACTCTGGACATGGGCAGTTTTACCTCTTTTACCAGGTGAACAGAGGGTATAAGAGACAATGCTCAGCCCCAATTGAAAGAACTGTAAGAGAAGCTAGAGAGAGCATGAGGTCTAAGCCAAACGTGAACAGGGAAGCCTTTTTGACTAGACTGAAGATACAAGGACATTTTTTGGCCATGAAATAAGAATTTCAAAGACTATTCTTGTAATACTTAGCAAGAATGCTGAAGTGTGCCTTATGGTGATATTAGCTTAAGTTTTCATATAGAACAAATCTTTGTGTGACATAGAAAGAACCTCAGCCTCTGCTGCCCGGGCACACCCTGACTTCTCTAAAACAAGCTTTGCACCACTTGAAATCTTCATGCTTCTGGGAGTCTCCTGGGCTTACTGGACAGGCAGGGAGAGTCATCAGTTTCTACTCTCTAGTAGAAATCATATACACTCTAGGGTTTGTGCCGGTATTGTGTGTGGGTTTTTTTTTTTAATACTATTGACTTCAAAGCTCTTTGAAATTTATCAAAATACTTTTTTTGCCATTATAATTTGGGGTTGTAATAATCTTCAATGAAGGGAAGCAATGAACATAATCATCCAAGAAGCAGAGACCATTGGTTTTGTACAATTTATATGGTTTTGATCTTTTGCTAGCTTAACACCAAACTTAACTGTGTTGCATTCCTTTGATGAGTATTTCTGGATGAATACTAAATGTTTAGTAAAAGTGGGTGTCAAAAGTTGGACAAAGTTGCTCAAAAGAACTATAAATGTACATGAGGATTATTAAATAGAAATTATAAAACCAGTTTTTCCTACATGGGTAGGAAGAAAATATTGGAAGAATACTAACACTGTATGTACTACTAGAAAGAAGTGCATGTAAAAATTAACTAGTACTGAAAAATATTAGCAAATACTAGTGTACTGAAAAAATTAACCAGAAGTCTGGTCAAATGCATTCCATTTTTACTGCCTTGACATACATGTGCTAATTCCAATAAGTTTCAAACAAACTTGTTAAATACATGTTTTGGATGATCAGTTTTCATAAAGCACTCCTACATTTATTTGAACTGTACATATGTGGGTACTTCTTATGTGCTCTAAAGGCATTCGTTCTCTCTACATATTAATTTCAAGTTCATTAGTATTATCATACTATTCCTTCATGAAAAAGGAAAGAATGAAAGCCTACTTACACTTACAATATTGTAAATGTTAAGTGGATGTGCTGAATTAAGGATGTTAGCTATTCAATTCATAAATAGTAGAACATAGTTTTCAAAGGACAGGTCTCATTCTGCAGTCAAAAGGTTGCCAGACCACAATGGACTCATTGAGCAATTCTGTAGAAGTCCAGACTCAAATGTCCTGAAGATGACTGAGGATGGACTAGTCAATCATAGCCCGTGTTTGTTATTTAGATTGTAGTACATGGGAAGAAAGCTGATCTTCAAAATAACTTTTAATATTCATTCCGCTACTCTCTTTTCTTAAAGAGCAAAAAAGTACAGAATTGCTCCACCAATAAAATTGTTCCAAATGCACACATTCAACTCAAAGTTCCAAAAATAGGCACATTCTTGAAAAATCATCACAGAAGAAAGGTAGGGGGATGAAAAGAACAGTAATTTCAATGGTAAAAGTAAATGTAGTTAACCACGTACCACACCAGTCATGAAGTCTGATGGCTGTATATGGACTATCATCATAATTTTGAAAAACCCTTAGATCCAGAGGCTAAAAGGCAAGCTTACACAGATTAAATAACTTGCTCTAGGTCATCATAGTTGTTAGTTTTGGAGCCTGACTCCTAACCTGATACTCTGTTTTCAACTTTTTCTCTGCATCTGTATCCTTTTTTATTAGCTGGTCTAGTAGGGAGTAATAGGCAAACATTTAAGGAAATTATGTATTTAGATTTTTAAACAGAAAGGAGAAAGGGGCAAATATTTTGGACCCATTCTGTGTGCCTAACACTATGTTAAACATTTAGGAACTTGCATTATCATTTATCTTTATAATATTAATTGGTAAAGCCTTTAAAGGAATATAAATTCTGAAATTTGTTTGGAGTCAGGCAACTGAAGGATGAAAAATAAATAAGAGTGAGTAAAGATTTGGGAAGTAATCCTTCCAATAATAGAATAAAGCATAAAGTTTTATTTAGAGAGGAAACATGAAAGAGAAAATTACTAATAAGAGTATCTAGCTATCTAAAAAGGCATTTGTAACATACATGAATGGGGTTTTGTTGTTTCCTCAGGCCAATATAAACAGAAACAAAGCTAAGTTATATGAGGGGTTGGGATTATAGAATTCATGAAGAGAATCTAGCTAAGAAAAATTCTGAGTGATAATATTTATTGAGCACCCACTGCATCCTGGAGGCAGGACTAGAGGCAGAGAGAGGGCAAGAGAGATACAAAAGTTATTTTAGGAAAGAACTTAGATGAATTCTCATTCCATTCTGCTTCAGTGTTTTCCTAAGGGAAATAAATATAAACTTATAAATATATGTGTATATAAAGTTAATCCTACTTTCTAATCTTTGAGCTATATAGAATTATTTTTAAAGAGAAATCTGAAACTCAGAGAGTTTAAGAAGTCTTCCCAATTTCGCACAGCAATTAAGTGGGCATCAAGAGAGGTAGTTGAACTCTTAGGGAGACAAAAAACACACAGTTTAGAGTTAGAAAATCTGGGCTCCAGTGTGGAGTTGGCTAGCTTCCATTACTTGATTGTGAGAAAGTTATTTCCACAAATTACTAATACTTATCTGTACAATAAAAATAAGAATACACAGAAGGATTGTTGGGAAGATTGAATGGGCATAGTCGTAGTGGAAGTAGTTTGACTATGATTACAAACAACTCTTAAAAAATTTATGAAAATATGGACTTCCTTCTGGCTATATGGTTAAAGGTTACATTAAAGGAATCTAAATGTTCATTTTTAAATCAGTGATGGTTTGATATAAACTTTTACAAAATGCTTCTACCATGTTTTTATTTGATTTCTTCTCATCTTCAAATCCATGTGCAATATAAGTGACCCTTGCCACTTAACAGTTCTTTAACTTTCACGCTTTGCATTCATTTGAGAGATTTTAGCAATCCAATGAGGGAAGAAATAGTGGCTGTAATATTATACTTCTTTGGGTTATCCACTTACCCAATATTCTGAGGGACTACTAAAAAGATGGCCATTGTGATAGCCTTTACAAAAATTAGAGTGAACTGAAAAATAAAAGTGAATAATGAGAACTACTTACAGTTTCAGAGATATACACAATGGATCTTAGGGCTCATAAGTTTAATATTTCTTGTGCCTCTTTATATGTTACCCATTTATCATATTGAATTGGAATTGTTCTTGTGCCTCCCATTACTGCAAAGTCCCTAGAAATTGGCAAGATACACCTAGACCCAATCATTTAATCTGATCATTAATGGAAAAAAAAAAGCTTAAGTCATAAATAGCAAGAGAACTCATTGAAGGTAAATAAAGTAGAAGGGAGAAATTACAGAGCAATTTCAACTGAGCAAGATCGTTAAACTCAAAGATGCTGTTTCCTGTTTCTGTGGTATAAACAATGAAGCCACTCCACTGGCCTTTCCACAACCTGGATGTCCCAAGGCCATGCCTCTTCTTTCCTTCCACATTCCCTAAGGAGAACTCTGGGTCATAAAAGAGTGAGAATTGGTGTAACTTCTTTCCTGAGAGGAGCTGAGCTCCCTCTGCGTTTATATTTGTGTCATCTTATTATAAGACGAGCTAACATCTATTATTAATTGATGTGCTAATTAAAGCCATACTTGCAGTTTCCATTAGCTTATTCTCTAAATTCTCCAGAGTTGGCTGTCTGGTTTTAATCAAAACCAAATGGTAGTCCAAGTTCCCAGCCTGGAGCAGCTAGGAGGAAGTCATTCAGTGGAGGCACAAGAAAGCAGAAAAGATAAATAGATGATAGTTCACAAAATTTGTGTCGGACGAAGGATGCAGATACTGTAAGCTGCTTTAGAGATGGGATTCAGGGACTCTGTCACGCGAGATGGAAACAATTGCAAGTGGTTAATGTCAGCAAGACTGTAATAAGATCAAGATGGAGTCTGTCTTCTGCTTTCCCAGCCCTGGACTTGTGTAACTGGAGGAATCTGAACCAGAGGTAATGCTGCATATGCCATGACACAAACTACTGCAGTTCTGTGAAGGGTTCATGGGATTGAAAGGATCTTGAAAAAAACTTCTTATTTACTGGATTCTTGGCATTTACTTACAGATCCTCTCAGGTACAGTATGTAAGGCTGCAGCCTTTTAAATTGTAACTACTATAAGAAAGGGTTTCAAATTTACAAGGATCACGGTATGAAAACTAAACTCATAGTGCTCTCTTAAAACATCTTTTGAAAGGAAAACTGCAAAGTTATTTTGATTACATTGTGCATATACATTTAATACAGTGGAAAAGTTATAAATGAGGGAAGGAACCATGTTTTCTTTTTTTTTTTTTTTCCATAAGCAGTGTGGGATAGAAAAAGCTGTACGACTTTATGACTCTCCAGCTAATCACCTCAAGAGCTTTGACAAACTCACTTCAGTTCTGTGTAAAATCAGAACTCCTAAAACGCCCGGTCAGCCTCTGCTCTCCCCTCCCTCCCTTGGTGCAGCCTTTCTCACATGCACACTTCTCAGAGGCAGGAAATGCTTCCCAGGCAATCTGGGCCTGCTTGTGGAGGCCCCTTTCGCAAAACATCAGTCTGAATTTAGTAGACAGAAGTCACTAGGAACGCCTTGACAGACTCCTGCCTCAGCTAAGGCTCCCTCCAGCTGCAGAGGGTGTTTTTGTTAGAATCACACACTGCGTAAAACTGCTTAGAATAGAGCCATGATCTCAACCACGAAATGTGAACTTATATTTTGGAGAAACTAACGGGGACGGACTTCTGAGCCTTGAACAATCTCATGCTGGGTGTTTTCAGCTCCTCGCTGTCTATAGGTAAGACGCTGTGGACTCTACCTTTATACTCGGAGGCAATCTTTGAAGAGGCGGAAGGATTGAGAGAAATGTTAACATCTTGTGCTGAGGGGTGATTTCCTAGGTTTTAGAGCTAAGCCATGAAATCAGAAGTAGAAAATGTGTGAGTAGAAAACCTGAGTCAAATTGTTTTAGCAATATGTCAAATCTAAAATAGGCACCATGGAGATTTTACCCTTTTCCTCTAAATGAAGACTTTCTTTTAATCCCTTTTTATCCTTAACTTACTTGTGACTAGAGCTCTAAGGCCAGGCTTCCTATTACATGGCATAATATGAAACAAATACATATTTGCACATATAAGAGGGAGGTGTAAATGAATGCTTTTAGCCCCTTCCTTTGCCAACAGGGAAAGTAGATAATGCTAGAGTGACTTTTGCAATTAATGAAGTTCTGAGGAATATTTTGTGTCTCATTTTAAGTATGAAGAGTGGATTCCTCAATATTTCCCCAGACCAATTTCAACCACAGGTCAAGCTGCTAATGTACAGCTTAAATGCTTCTTTCAAAAAGACAAGTAAACACATGGAATTTCCAAAATAATCTCTATCCTAAGTAGTATTTAATCTGATTCTCAAAAAAGTTAAGTATCAGAACTGGATCTAACTTATTAACTTTCCGGGATTTACTGCTCAGGTTGTTTTTTTGTGTAAATGTTTTTCAATAATTGAAAGATATCAGTGACAACAGCAGTCATTATCACAATTTTAAGGTAGCTGGAAGTCATTACAATCATATAAAAAGCTGGTCATGTGTTCATAGTTCATATAGTCGTAAAATTACATTTGTGCTTGGTTCTAGTCTCTTTAAAGTTTCTTAAATATTTACGCATGCATTATTATGAGGAAACAAATTTAATGACCAAAACAAGGTGTCTTTATAATGTATAACATACTGTATATTTATAATTCTGAATATTTAGAATGAAAATCATTACTTTATAGAAATAATACAGAATAGTATCTGAAGGGAAGCAAGTTCATACATAGTTCCTAATCTAGCAGATTAACACAGAATACACTAAATGAAAGAGGAGAGCATTTTGACTGTTGGATCACAAGAAATCAAATATTTTAATTCTAAGTTTTTATTTAGTACAAGGTGACTATTTGCTGTATTAGCTAATTTATTCTTAAATTCTGTGCTAGAATAGCTTATCTTGATAAATTTTAACTATTCACTAACAATTTAAGTTGTATCAAGACTTTAAAATATGACTTTAAAAATCTATTTTCAGCATATTAAAATACTTATCTAAGTCATGATTTAATAAAGTCCCTGAATAGAATGTCAGGGAAGGAAAGAACATGAGAGACCACCTCTTCTAATGCTGTGCACAGGTTGCCACCAGAGAGCTGAGGAATGACATTCAAAAGTGGCCCGTCCAAGGTCACACTACTAGCTGGTAGAAGACATGACAGCACCCTGTTTCATAGTTCAGATATCTTTATACTGCACCATCTTGCTCTCAAATAATAATTATGCAGAATGAAGTATGAACGTATCCAGTAGGAGGCTAGTTTAACACAGAAAATTGGAGTGCCTCTGAAAAAAATAAGGGGGGTGGGGGGGCTTAAAGTGCCACCAGTGTTACAGTGTGGATAGAGAAATCATGGTTTGTACAAAGAGTCAAATTTACTCAGAAACAAAATTTTTTCAAATGCAAAAGCTTTCTTAGGCCTGCAACAAACACTTAAAGGAGTAATTTATTTGTGACCACTTTGTTACATTTTATGTTTTTGCCAAGAAGATCAAACCATATGCTAACAATTATATAAATTTTAAACTGATGTTTCTTAAAAACATAGGGCTAAAAAGGCACTTATCTGATTCATATCCTTGTATTCAAATGGTGTAATGAAACAGTCCTAACCAGTGACACTCAGAAGAGATTTTACTACCCCAGTTTAAGAATCCTTTGTGCCCAGACATTCTTTCTTTTATCTAGCCTAAATCTCTGCTGCTGCAGCCTGTTTCCAGTTCTACAGGTTTCCTCCTCAGTGGAAATATAAAAAGCCTAAATAGACATATGAAAACATAAGCATACATTTCTAAGCCAAATAAACGCACTTGCTTTCATCTTTCCTTCTACAAATTATTTTCAATCCTTTAATTGGTTCATATATCTGCTCTGAGCCATCTACAATGTCCTTTAGCTGTAGAATACAGAATTTGTTACAGTATATAAATGAATGACCAGGGTGGTGTAAAATGAGAACTTGGCTGCTTAATCTGTATCAGACCTCATATATGACAGTACATGTTGCTGTACACACTGAACACTGCACTTTCCAAGGCAAGAGCCTTTCTCATAAAACTCATATATGTCATTTCTGGAAGTGAGAATGTGTATCATGATAAATTTTTTTTTCCATTTTTATGAACCAGATTGAATTTCCTGATGTTATTAACACTTAAATGACACACTATGCAACACTCCCAGCATCACCACACTTCACATTATTGCAATGAGGAATGAAAGCAGCACAGCCTATAGAACCGCCAGCATGGTTACTACAGGGCCTAGCAAAAGAGAGTGCATGTCCTTTTCTCAAGGACATCTTAATTAAAAAGGACAATCTTTCTGGCTCTATCCAAATCTCACTACTAAAACTAGGCATGATCTAATCTTACTTATCAAGGATTGGGTCTTACAGACTTTAAACACATCTAAATTGAGACATTTTAAATTAAATTTTTTTAATTTTTGTTTTTGTCTTATTTGTTTCTTCTTGGAGAATGAATGAATGCTATTATCTTACAATGAGAATCTCTCTGTAGAAATCAGTACAGTAAAGTTCCAAAGGAGAGATGACATATACCTGGATAAGAGATTTTCATTATGAAAATAGAGAAATATGAAGAATTAGACATGGGAATTTAAAGAGGATGAGGGAAAAGCAAAAACCTCCAAACTTGAAGGAAGTGACATGAATATTGTGCCTTCTTCTCTGACAGGAATGATATGTTCACAATTCAACAGAGAAGCTCCACACTGACTTTGGGGTGGATGTAGAAATTCAGCACTCATGTCCATGGTTCTGTTTGGCATTACTGTTAGCTAGTTCACAGAATTTTGAGAAGGAGGTAGGCTTAGATTTAATGAAGTTAAACAGAGTACAGGTGATGTGTGGCCCCTGAGACCTGGTTTAAAAAGAGGTTGTTGATTTAGATTGACTGGATTATATCGTACATAAGTGAATCTGAAAAGATGAAATAGTAACTCTGATGCAAAAATAAAGCTGAAAGGCAATGTGAACTGTGCACATGAACTTGCTCATTAAGTAAAATAGATGGGTAGAAAAACTACAGCAGCTCGTTAAATGTGTAAAGTGCTTGTTTTGTATGACATTGAATTAACGAAGTGTTTTGGCCATAAAATTCCAATGATTCAAAGAGAAAATCATTGCTGTTCATGAAATGAGACAGAAAGGCGTAGGAAGATCAGAGAACAAGTTTAGAACTTCAGTGTTTCTTTTTATTCTCAGCAAATAACAAAATACCTAGCATGTTAGGTGCTGTCAATACACGTTTCTCAATAAATATTTGTGGACCAAATAGGAGGGAGAGAGGCAAGTAAGGGGAGGGAAAGAGAATGGGAGATGGGCAGGGGCCGCCAGAGCCCAAGGCCAGATGTCGACAACACTCTCATCGTTTGACATTGCAGGTTCATTAAGGACCAGAAGGAAGCATGAGCATCCAGAAATAGTTTGATATTCGAAGTGACTTGACACCAGTGAGAGCACAGCACTAGCAGACTTGCCACCACTTAAATAGGCTGGTGTGCTGGAAAGCTCAGAAAGCTGGCTCTAATTCGCTTCTGCCATTTGATGCTCGGTGATTTGAAGCATGCCCCATCACTCCTTGGAGCCTTTATTGGCAAAGTCTGGAAGATGCTGAAAATATTTATATCATCAGGTCATTTTGCGCATCACATGAGATTGTGTATGTGCAAATTGATTTGCATACAGTATAACAAACGCATCTTTGTTTAAAAAGGCACAGATTAATTAGTCTAGAAAGAAAGAATCCTGGTTTTTCACATTTTGGTCAAATCATTCATCTGTATTGAAGTAACACCAGCATACAAGGAATAGTTCTAGCTCGTACTCCGCCATAGATTCTGGTGCTAACATCCACCAGAAACTGAAAGACACATTGTTACCCTCATCATCTAATCATCATGGCACTTCGCATCTAGAACTCTTGCCATATGCCGTGGATTAAGTCATTCTACCTATATTACTGGCTCATTATTTATTTAGTTTAATATTATTATTTTCCCCTCAACAGTTTCTCATTGTATCCATGGTAGAAGTGAAAAAACTGAGGGACACAATACTTACAGAGTTTTCATAAAAGTGGAGAAAATACAAATAAAACAAAATAATAGAGAAAAAAACAAAACAAAGAATGGAGATAACACTTGCCCACTAATAGGTGTCTGACATTGAGCTAGTTACTGAGTCCTGCCAAAATTCCACCCTATAAAAACTAGGGCAGCAATAGTACCTCATTCATAAGAGTGTTTGTGAGTACTATTAGGAAAGGAGATGGTGTAAGTAAAACACCAAATATAGCACCTGACCCACAGTAAATGCTTAATAAATGGAGGTCTTTTACTTTTACTGTTTCCTGGTACATGTTCATCAAAAGTTTCTAAGGCACCTACTTTACCTGAATATATAGCAGAACACTTGCTAATAAAAACAACCTCGAATGTACATAGGTAGATGACAAAATAAGGTGAGAATCACAGATACGAAATACAGAAGTAGCTAAGTTCCCAATGATTTATGTTTCTGCTTTCAGGAAAAGTTGTTCTTATTGAATGCCAGAAAGCTCATTCCTGTTGTCACCTAGCCATCTGAGCACCTGTGCTGATGTAGCTTTTATTTACATTTAGTGATTACTGTGTCTACCGTTAGAGTGTTCTTAGAAATGATAGCCAAGCTAAAAAT